CCTCACCGTGGAATGCGCTGCGGTCGCCCTCTGATTTTCCTTTAGTTTTTAGAGAGAGTGGAAGAGAGAGGGAAAGACAGAGAGTAATATTGATATCAGAGAAACGCATCAATTGGTTGCCTCCTGCACATTGGGGAGGAGCCTGCAACTGAGGTACATGCCCTTGACCAGAATCGAACCCAGAACTCTTCAGTTCTCAAGCTGACGCTCTATCCATTGAGTAAACTGGGTAAGGCCCATATCTATTTTGTAACTTCATCATCTAGCATTGTGCCCAGCAAACAGTAAGCACCTAAAAAGTATTTGGATGAATGAATGAATGAATTTTCCTTAGCAGTTTTTTTTTCTGAAACTGAATGGATTCTTATGAAATGGTGGAGAATGTATAGTCATGCAGGTTTGAAACATTTTGCAAAATTTTTAGATTGAAAAATAATTCTAAGTCTGCTATAGGAAAAAGGACCACAGTGACATGCTTTTTACTTGTGTTTTTACAGGTGTTCCAGGATTTGGGGACTGAAGTACTGAATGGAGCTGCCAAAGGCTATAACATCTGCCTTTTTGCCTATGGACAGACAGGCTCTGGGAAGACATACACCATGCTGGGGACACCGGTGAGTATTGCAATTGAAATGAGATATCTTCCTAATGGCACAGCAAGTTGAATCTCAAATGGTCCTAACCACTGAGAGAGAGAATGTGAGTTTCATAATCAGTGAACTTTAACAAGATTTAATGGGCCATCTTCTGTATTAGCCAGTAGGTTTCTCAGCCCTTTAATTGAAGGGTAAACTTTGAATAATTAGCTCTGTTTATTAAACCCCGAAGAACCTTAGAATTTTACAACTCTCTTTGATGAAGCAGACCTTGTCAGTCCTTCTGAATTTCTCATATCATTGATAAGACCCAGCCTGAGCCTTAAGTGCTGGCCAGGACTGAGCAGAAATGAGGCTACATGTGCTTGACCTGAGTGTCAGAAAGAAGCAGGAGAAACAGCTATTGGGATGGGAGCTTTCTAAAGTATGTAGGACTTATGAGAGCCTTCTTTTATCATGGAAAAGTAGAAGGGTGGAGTTCCGTAAGAATACCCCTTTATTTTAGAGTTAGAAGTCCGCTGCTGAGGTGAATGGTGGAGCAGTGACGGCACTAACATTCTTTAGAACACTATTCCTCCTGAAAGATTATCCTTACTGCCTTGGGCTCAGCTCATGCTCACTATGTCCATGTTTATTGTGATTTTATATATTTGAAGTTAAAAGAAGAAAATGCCCATCAAATCAGGGGTATAAAGCCTTTAACCTGAGTACAGGTTAGCACTAGATCCAAGATTAAAAGAGAAGTCACTTCTCTCTAAATGTGTGTTTTGAGCACACCTGTATCTATTTTTCCTGGGTGTAGCAACAGGAGGTAGGTTTTGGGAGGAAACACCATGAGAAAGTGGGTTGATCCAAGAAGGATGAAACTTCATTTCGCAAAAGCGGGTATTTCTTCCTTCCTGGGCTGGTGATCCGCCTCTCATCTGGTGCCTTCCTCCTGAGAGCACTGCGAATAGCGTCTTCGCCACAGTACCAGTGAAACTCCTTGGAATGAACAGGCCAGCACAAGGAGCCATGTGCCCGTCCTCCTGCTGACAGCTCCTGGGTGTTGGGCGAGGAGCATCAATGAGAGTGAACAGTAATGCTTTCCTTCCTTCTGTTCTCCAGGCCTCTGTCGGGCTGACGCCGCGGATATGTGAGGTATAGATTCTCTTTTGACTGGATCCTCTCAAAGTAGGTCTCCTTTGTACACTCCAGTGAAATTCCAACCCTCTGGTTCATGCAGGGCCTCTTCGTCAGGGAGAAAGATTGTGCACCACCGCCTTCCTCCTGTAGGATAAAAGTAAGGTAAGAACCTACCAGGCTCTGGGGCCTAATGTTCTTCCATTTCCACTCCAAATCCTGGCATGTTCAGCTGTTCTCTTTGCTTCCAGAGTCATCCAGAAGAATGGAGGGAAGCCATAGCAGAAGTATCTTGCAGTATAGGAAGATGGGAAACGTACTTAGGTCTTTGGGTTGTAGAAAACTCAATTCCTTTCCTGAGGCTTAACAAGCAGGTGTCTCCTTTGTACCAGTTTGCCATGACGGTCTGGTTTCCTTTCCTTCACTCTCTGTCCAATTTCATACTAGCTTTTAGACCAGTGGTTCTCAACCTTGGCTGCACATTAGAATCGCCTGGGAATCTTTTTAAAATCCTGATTTCTGGGCCTCATCCTCCGGAAATTCTGTTTCTTTGTTACTAATGTTGTGGCCCCACCCCATAACAAAGAAACAGAATTTCCGGAGGATGAGGCCCAGAAATCAGGATTTTAAAAAGATTCCTAGGTGATTCTAATGTGCAGCCAAGGTTGAGAACCACTGTTTTAAACTTTCTCCTCCAGCCCCCACTGTGTTGTTCTCCAGGTCAGTCATTCCCACACTCTCGTTCCCAGACAGACTGACTGGTGCTGGCTGCTCCAAGATGAAGTTTTACAGTTTATAGTGGAAATGTTGACCAATTGCCCTTAATTCTCTGTATTCTTTTTTTGTGTTGTTCAATTTTTTTTTAATCCTATGTAATAAAAGGGTAATAGCAAATTGTCCCCTCAACCAAGAGTTTGACCAGAGTTCGACCAGGGGGCAGGGCCGGCCCACCAACCGGCTCCCCACATCTCCTGGCTGGCTCCACCTGATCGACCCTAATTGGGGCCGGCTGACCGGACCCCACCCATGGGCAAATTCATGCACCAGGCCTCTAGTTGAGATGTAATTTGTAAACCATAAAATTCATGCTTTTAAAGTATACAGTTTAGTGACTTTTCCTGATATTTGCACAGTTGTCCAGCCATCATCACTATCTATTCCAGAACATTTTTATCATTCCCAAAAGAGAAAATGTTCATTTTAAAAATTAAATTATTGAGAACATTATTTTTACCTTTTTAAGTTTGTAAAGTAAAAATTTGCAAACCCATGTGCTTGTGTGTATGTGTATAAACATATATATGTCTATTAAAAGTCTTATTGTCCATGAAGTCTGGGAACCACTATTCTAAGAGACATTTAGGTATCTTGTGTCTAAACATGAGAAGGTTAAGGAGAATAATTGATCAGGAGAGTGTGCATGGAGCCTTTTTTTGACGGTTGACTCCATAGGCAAGCATCTGGGTTCTGGTGAGGAAGGCCTTTCTGTGGAAAGTGTGCTTTCTTGTGTATCAATATCTTATTTTAATAATTAGTCATAGCTGTTATTATTTTTAAAAGGAATCACATGCCAGTAGATTCCTACAAGATAGAGCATATCTTAAGCAGAATCCCCATATATAAAACAGGTAAAATGAAAATTGTCCTACTGAAGTTAGGGGTAGGGACCAAACCCTGATCACAAGCTTCCTTCGTTGCTCAGGAGTGGCCCTTGAGATGTCTTCATAGAATGAGAGAGCTCAAAGATCACATTTGAAAACCACTTCACCAAACAAGCTCGTAGACTTTGTGCTGTGGCGGCCTGAGCAGGGACAGGCTGGTGGCAGCATACCCTAAAACCATGCTGAAATAGCCTCTTGAAGGTGAGACTTGAATCAGTACTGACATTGTGCTGAAATGTGCGAAACTAAAACTGAAGTGTTGATATCCAGTGCTGAAAACCCTGTTGTACACATGTAGAAAGAGACTCAAGGGGGAACCTGGTGTGATCAAGATCTTAGAGGGTCAGGGATGGAACTAGAACAAGAGCTAGGACCTTCTGATTGTTGATTTGGTGTTTTTCCCCCACTTATTTGAAAATCTAATCATGTTGCTTTCCTCCAAAATCTAATTAAAATTTTTTTTATTTACTGATTAGACAGAGAGAATCTATTTGTTGTTCCACTTATTTATGCATTCATTGGTTGATTCTTGTATGTGCCCTGACCAAGGATTGAACCCGAAATCTTGGCGTATTGATTATAACCAACTGAGCTACCCTGCCAGGGCCTCCAAGTTTAATTTTGAAAACATGTTACCATCTTTCAAAATCTAACTATGTGCCTTTTTCCTCATGTCTCTAGTTTTCTGGAAATCTATAATGAACGAGTGAGGGATCTGTTGAAGCCATCTGATCAAAAAAAATCCTATACCCTGCGGGTCAGGGAGCACCCAGAGATGGGGCCCTATGTTGAAGGTGAGCCACTGTGGTCCTGGAGGTCTGAGACCAAAACAGAGCGAGGGAAACCCTCCTAATGGTCATTCATTCAGTCAACAGTTGTATAATGATTACTTACTCTGAACAGCTACTGTACTAGATACAGGGTATGTACTGATACATAGAAAAGAAAGTCCTCTTCTCGTAGGCAAGCTTATACTTTTGTGGGCATGAATCTGAAAACAGCACTTAATTACAAGCTGTGATGAAGGCTAATGAAAAAATAAATGGATGTAGTGATGTGGGTAAGTGGTATGGGAAAAGGTGAGGTCTGCGGTGTCAGATCTATCAGGGCCCGGCTGGTTCTTGGGCCGGTTAGTCTTCTTTTCAGGGTACTTTCTCTTCCATTGGCGGTGGTGGGGAGATGAGGAGATATCAGACACAGGGCAGGGTCTGAACTGCTTCCTCATCACGCATGATATTTGGTGTTTGGTACCACGTGTCTTATTCCATTAGGCTTAGTCTTACTATTAAGTAGGAACAGTTGAGTTCTTCTGTGGAAGAAGTTTTTACCCTTTCAGGCCACTCATAAGAAGTAACATGTATATTTTATGCTCTTCTTGCCTCAGCAATATACTCATTTAAATCCTGACAAGGTGAGGGACATGAAAGATCAAGAGTTGGTCTCTCTCTGAACAGCGCTTGGCTAGTGGATGACTCAGTAGGTGTGCCAGTCATGATTCTGCTACCTGTATCTTTCCCCAAAGTTTCCATCATAAATGACAGACTGAAAACAACAAAAAATACCACTTCCTTTGTTGGGAGCCAGGTGGAGTTTCCTTTGTCCCAGATGCTGGCCTTATCTTACTGAACTTTCATCTTTCCCATGTATATGGCCTGTACAGTTTTTACTATCTGCTTATCCCTTCCTTCCTTCAAGCTGATTTTTTTAATATTTCATCCAGCTCTTTTGTTTGTTTCAGGACCTTCTTTTTAAAAAAATTTTCTCCAGTTTTATTGAGATATAATTGATATACATTACTATATAAATTTAAAGTTTACAGCATAATGGTTTGACTTACACATATTGTGAAATGATTACCACAAAAAGTTAACATCCATCATCTCATATAAATACAATAAAAAGAAAAAAATTTCTCCTTCTGATGAGCACCGTTAGGAGTTACTCACATAACAATTTCATATACAGGGTGCCCCCCAAAAATCTATGCACACTTTAACAGCTGGTAGCTCAGTTTTGAAATGAAATATATTGTAATAAAACCTGCCTTTATAGTTATCCCAAGTGTGTGTATACATTTTTGGGGACATCCTATATATCGCAGTAATGTGAGCTGTAGTCATCATGTTGTACATTATTACTTCCCTAGTACTTAATTATAACTGGAACTTTGTACCTTTTGTCTACCTTCCTTCAGTTCTCTCTCCCTTCTACCCCCACCTCTGGTAACGACACATCTAATCTCTTTCTATGAGCTTGGTGGTTTTTTTAGAATTTGGTTGAAAGTGAGCTCATACAGTATTTGTCTATCTTTGTCTGACTTACTTCAGTTAGCATAATGCCCTGAAGGTCCACCCATGTTATTTTTTAATGGCTGAATAATATTCCATTCTGTGTGTGTGTGTGTGTGTGTGTGTGTGTGTGTATATGTGTATGTATACTTTGTATATATATGTATACATCATATATATGTACCTATATCTATATATATCTATATCTTGCAACTTAATTTACCCATTCATTCATTTGATGGACACTTTGGTTGCTATTGTGAATAATGCTGCTATGAACATGGAGATGCAGATATCCCTTTGAGTTAATGTAGGAATGTTTTCTTTCTTCCTTTTTATTTTTTCCATCACCATTTATCCCCTCTAGGAATATTTTCTTTAAGAAAACATAACCACAAACTAGTATCACATCTAAATAACAAAATTCTTTACAAAAAAAGTGTCAGTGTTCAAATTAGTGTGCTAACATTTAGAGTAACTGTATTTAGCAATGAGCCTGTGTAGTTACTTTGCTCCTGAGCCTCTGATATAGAGATTCACTAGCACAGTTATGATGGCCCTTTTTGATTTGCTAAGTAATCAGTCATAAAAATTTACTTTCATGTCTTCAAGCAACTTTCCACCTATCTAAATCTTCCCCATTCTACAGTGGCCAAAGTCAAGTCTTACTTCCTCCATGGAGCCCGCCCTGACCACTTCTCTGATTTTCTGAGCGTTGATTATCCTACTCCTGTGACACTTGGCCAGATTGTCATGTATAGTATAACTGCTCATGACTGTAAACTGTGGGAAGATAGGGACATATCTACTGTATGTCAAACTGAGTCTGCCATATTGTGGGGAGATAGTATCTGTATACTTCAGGAATTTAATGAAGACCAAATGAAGTATTATATGAAACTTTTTAAATAACCTACATAGCAGAATTGTAAGGGATTTTATTGTTATTGATTGATTGTTGTTGGTGTAACTGCTATATGAATTAATCTTAGATTATAATCTCTGTGAGGGCAGAGACCTATGTTTCCAGAGCCTATCACAATACTTAACAGTAGGCTTCCAATAAATATTTGATTTAATTTATTATTTGAATGATTTAGAAAGTTCTCTCATGTCTATTCAATAATGTAAAGTAGAAAAAAATAAAGTAGAAATGATAAAGTTCAAGAACTAGAGGGAAAGGTTAAACTTTACCAAAAATGTTATTTAATTTTTTTCTCCTTCACAAATCTGATAGGTTTATCTCAACATGTAGTTACCAACTATAAGCAAGTAATTCAACTCTTGGAGGAGGGAATAGCAAACAGGTAACACATTTGTTTGTTCCTATCATTCTTTTGAGCCTCATCCTTCAGTCCTGTGTTCTCATCCCCCTTTGGCATGTATGATGATACCTACCTCTGCAGCTTCCAACTCCTATTCAGGAGGCCTTTCTCACAACAGTAATGTACCCACGGTAAGGTGCAGTGACTTAAGATTTAGTGCTCTTCTCACTTGTAATGAGATGGTCTTAAACTGAAGAATGATTGACTTAGATTTAGGTAAAGGGAAGGCTCTCCGGACGCAACATTGGAATGAATTTATGAGGGAGACTGAATTCTATCTGGCTTAAGCAGTATTTGTCTTTCTGCACTGTAATTCAAGATCTACTTTTAAAGGTTTTTCTGGCACTATAAGATTAATATTCTTTGTTGAATCACAACATTCTCGCTCTGTCTTTGAGGTTTCTTCTCCAGCAAGTTCTTTACCTCCCCTTGTCTTTATTTAATGGGTTCTTGGGGATATTCTTCCAATACTACTCTTTAGTATTCCCCTTTTCAACTGTGATTTTTGTTTCTGTTGCTTAAAAACAAAGTTCTAATGTAGTTTAGCATGAAGATACATTCCCTTTTATTCTCCGATATCAGTTCCTAGAATACTGCTTCTGCCTTCATTGGACCATCTCCTAAATATACTGGACTAAATATGGATGTTTTATGATTCTCATCTGTAAGCCTCAACACTAGCATTTCTTGTGTTCCCCATGGATCCTCAAGGATTCACCAGACATAAACAATCCTCGTCCTAATTGTCTTGCCTTGTATACGTAGAATCACAGCAGCTACCCATGTTCATGAGGCCAGCAGCAGATCCCATGCCATCTTCACTATCCACTACACACAGGTTGGTTTCCTCTTATATTTGGTTAGATTTCTTCCTCTCCTAGTCCCTTTTGACTTCTTCCATTTACAGGTCTAGTAAGCTGTGCACCTAGAAAGGGTAGAGGCATTTAATAAGACTAATTAAAATATCTTCTACTTATATTTACTTTTAACATTTCAAAGAACTTTCATATCTGTGATCAGTATGAGCATTTAAAGCAAATAGCAAGATTGAAATAAAAATAACCATTAAAATGTAAGAACAGAAGATTCACTTCTGTTATGATGGAATGAGGAGGTCAGTAAACCCCATCCCCAAAAAGCAACCATAAAGCTGGACAAAACTGTCAAAAGTAACCATTTCTCTATTCTAAAAATAGATCACAGACATATGATAAACTGAGAAGCATAAATTCAAGAAAACTATTGAATGTACACTGTACATATGAGCTGTATAGTGTACTCAAGTATAGTGGACTTTCTTGGGCTGCTCCCATCTTTATCTCTGTTAATAAGGTAGTTCAATCAGGGGAGGGAAGGTTGTGAAAACCAGCAGTTTTGTTGCTGCTGGTACCAGAGGTGTTGATTTGGGGCATTGTCAGTTAAAGTGGTGATCTCAGTGATAAGTGAATAAGGAGGGCCAGTGGCTCCATTAGTCTCAGATTGTGGTTCTGTTTCAGGCAAGAATGAAAGGGGATTTAACAGGGATTCTGAGGGATGATACAGCCATAGGGCTGTGATGAGATCCACACATATCCTGTGCACATACACAGCAGAGACGAAATAGACTCAATCCAGCCACACAGCCCTGACTGGCAGCATCTGCACATACATGCAGAGGAGACGCAGAGGGCCCTGTGACTAGAGAATGCTGGGGTAAACTTAAAAACTGCCTGACCTTTTAATTTATTCCCTAGCCCACATAGATCCGTCAACAGAGAGCAGAAGTCTTTTTGGCTCAAGGTATTTGATGACAACTTCTGACCAATCTTTGCCTAAACACTAAGCTATGTAGATGCAGGGCTGGCTCCTAAGAAGCCAAGCTTAAACTTGAAAATAACCATGGGAAAAACCTACTGAGACTGCTTTGTCTGCATATTAGGGGAGACAGATTTTAAAGATTTATTCCAGACAAGTTACCAAACAAAACAAGCACTCTACCACCCTAAGTAGGAAAAAATCAGAATAAAGGGGTGTTACAATATATTATCTAAAATATCTAGTATTCAACCAAAAATGATTAGACATGGAACACAAATAAGGAAGTGTGACCCATGATTAAGAAAAAGAAAAAACAGTCAATAAAAATTGGCTCTTAGTGCTCCAGATACTGGGTTTAGTATACAGTGGCTCCAAAGCAGGTAATAAAAATATATTTAAAGAACTGAAGCAAACCATTTTAAGAATTAAAGAAAAGCATGATGACAATGGCTGTAAGAAATTTCACTAAAATGATATAAAATTTTTAAATGGGAATTCTGGAATCAAAATGTACAATAATTGAAATGAAAAATTCACTAATGGAGCTCAATAGCAGATTTGAGATGGCAGAAGAATTATTTTTGAAGAAGACAAATGCAAATTGAAGAAAAATGAACAGAGCCACTCAGACCTGTGGAACAAAATCAAGTCTGCCAACATAAATGTAATGGGAATTCCAGAAAGAGAGAAAAGAGAATAGTCATAAGAAAATTGTGAAAAATAATGGCCAAGAAAATTCCCCAGATTTGTTTAAAATCGTTAATCTACATATCTAAGATGCTTAAGAATGCCAAATAAAATAAACACAAAGAGAGCCATACCCAGACACCTCATAGTGAAACTGTTGAATGAGGAAGAGAAACTTAAAATCAGCTAGAGGAAAACGACTTGTTATGTACAGAACAATTACATGATTAATGGCTGACTTATCATCAGAAGTATTGGACACCAGAAAACAGTGATAAAAAATTAAAACCGTCAACCAAAATTTATATATGCAGCAAAACTAGCTTTCAAAAGTGAAGATGAAATAAGGACATTCCGACATTGAAAACGCATGCGCACACACACACACACACACACACACAAACCCACCCAGAATTCTTGCTAGCAGCCTATCTTACACTAAAGGAAATCTTTCAGGCTAAAATAGAGTGATATATTCTTTCTCATTTCCTCTAATGTCATTAAAAGAAAATTTTATATAAAACAATAATATGCTTTATTGTTTTTTATCATATGTATACATTGTCATACATCATGAAAATAAATAGAAAAACAATTATAATTCTGAACACATCAATAATTACATTAAGTGTGAATGGATGAGGATACAAATGATCAAACTAGGTAAAAGCAAGATCCAACTATATGCTGTCTATAAGAAACACTCCTTAGATTGAAAGGGATAGGTTGAAAGTAATGAGATGGAAAAAATTACACCACATAAATAGTAACTGTAAGAGTTAGAGTACTATAATAGTGTCAGACAAAAAAAAAAAGAGTTTAAGACAAATATTAGAGACAGACATTTCATCAAGAAGATACAACAATTTTAAATGTATGTGCTCCAAAATTGACAGAATTTAAAAGAAAAATAAATAGGCAATTCAGTAACAGTAATTGGAGATTTCAGTGCCCCACTTTCAATAATTGGTAGCAACAACTAGACAGGAATTTGCAAGAATATAGATTTGAGCAACATTCTCAACCAATGTGACCTTACATTTAAAGAATACTGCACTTAACATCTGTACGCATATATAGGCAACTGATTTTTTAACCAAGTGGCAAAGGCAATTCAATAGAGAATGTCTAGTCTTTTCAACAAATAGTGGTAGGACAATTGTATATCCATATGTTAAAAAAATGAAAACAAAGGAAGACAACTTTGATCTATACCTTGTACTTTAAAAATTAACTCAAACTGGATAATAGATATAAATGTAAAACCTGAAAATATTACTCTTGTGGAAGATAACATGGGAGAACTTTTGTGATCTTTGATTAGGTGAAGTTTTTAGTTATGACACTAGTTAGAGAATAAAAAGAAAAGGCACAGATTGGGAGAATTTGTTTGTAAAACATACATATATGATAAAGTATTTGTATCCAGGATATATAGAGAACTCTCCAAACTTAATAAAACAACTCAAAACAATGGTAAAAATTTGGAGCCAACATTTCATTAAAGAAAATATACAAATGGTAATTAAGCACTTGAAAAGATGCCCAACATCATTAATTATTGTAGGATGCAAATTGAAACCAAATAATATATCACTACTCACCTTTTAGAATGGCTAAAATTAGTCCTAGCTGGTTTGGCTCAGTGGATAGAGCGTCGGCTGTGGACTGAAGGGTCCCAGGTTTGATTCCTGTCAAGGAATCATCTGATCAATGATTCTCTCTCGTCGTTTTTATCTCTCTCCCTCTCCTTACCTCTCTGAAATCAATTTTTAAAAAATCTATTAAAATGGATAAAATTAAAAATAGTGATTATTCTAAATAGTGGCAAGGTGTATAGGAACTGGAGTTCTCATATACTAACTACTGGTGGGAATGGAAAGTGGTACAGTAACTTTTAAAAACAGTTTCTTTAAAAATATAACATATGCCTACCATGTGATCCACTCCTAGGTATTTTTCCCAAAACCAAAAAATGTCCATACAAAGACTTGTAAACAAATATTAATATTTGTACTTGTATAAAATATATTTTGTAATAAATTATAAAATTTATTTTTAATTGTTCAAAACTGAAAACAACCCAAATGTCCATCAAGAGGTGAATGGATAAACCATGCAATGGAATACTTCTCAGCAATAAAAATGAACTACTGATATACACCTCAAAATGTATGAATCTTAAGATAATTATGCAGTGAAAGAAGCCATATAGTGTATGATTCTATTTATATGAAATATCCTGAGAAGACGAATTTATAAAAACAGAAAGTTGGTGAGTGGTTGCCTAGGGCTGGGGATGGGAATGGAGACTGACTGCAAACACACTTGAGGAAAATTGGGAAATATTTTAAAGCTGGATTTTTGGTGATGGATATACAACATTAAAACAAAACAACAAAAAATATTGAATTAAAGAGGGAAAAATAGGGAAAAGTACTTTTGCTCTTGAGGGCTGGATGCCCCTGAACATAATATAAAGATGCAGAGTGCTTGCCCTAGCCAGTGGTCGGCAAACTGCGGCTCTTTGGCCCCTTGAGTGTGACCACGAAGTTTCAATCGCACTGTACGTGCGCGCCCGCATGTAGTATTTTGTGGAAGAGCCACACTCAAGGGGCCACAGTTTGCCGACCACTGTCCTAGACCATTGATTTCCAACCCGTGTTCTGCAGCACACTGGTGTGCTGCACAGTTTTAAAATATGCAATACCTGACTATTTAGTCAGGGGTGCTGACCTCTTTTCCCTTAGAATGTCAAATAAGAAAAATGAGAACAGCTGACACAACAGCCACCCAGTGTGAAGGATCAAAATTATACCTAATTTTTTGTGAGATCAGCAAAAAATAAATTTTTTGGTGTGCCACATAATTTTAGTAATTAGTTTGTGTGCCATGAGATGAAAAAGGTTGAAAGTCGCTGCTGTAGCCAGTTAACCTGATGTGACTCAGGCTAACAAGAGAGACAAACCAAACCTCCAGCAGGGGCCCAACCTGCTGTGAGAGGGAGCCTGGAGGAGAGCTGAGCATTTGCCTGGTAAATTGTTCTAAAATTCTTGGTGTCCCTGAACATTGTGTTCAGAGGACTTTTTGGGGGATTTGCCCAGTTTTTTTCAGGAGAAGTCTTGCTTATATTTTCAGTGAAGTGAGGACCCAGAGCTTACTGATTGTATCTACCAGATATTGAGATCTCATCTGGCATATTTGAATATAGATTTTTTGGAATAAGTTGGCTAAAAACCCAAAATATCACCTTGGTTAGGAGGATGTCTAAGGGGAAAAAAAAACCTCATTGTTCCGAATGACAAGGTTTAAATGTGTTTTCTGCCTTAGGCGGTCCTGGAGAATAACCTTCCCTCTGAAGTCGCTAGCAAGATCAACCTTGTGGACCTTGCAGGCAGGTAATTAGATTTCAAAGCCAACGGGGATTACTCCCTTGGCAATGACCTTATTCTTGCTCATTTTTTAGGGAATAATCTTGTTCTAACCTTTTTCATATTTCAACAATCCTGAGGAAATTACAAAGGAAACATATTCTTTGAATACTAGGTTAAGAAATTATAGCTTCTAGGAACTGAAAAGTTCTGTGTCAGGGGATCTCAATCCTAGTTGTCCATTAAAATCACCTGGGACCTTTTAAAATTCCCAATGCCTGGGCTGCACCTTAGACAAAATAAATCAGGATATTAGAGGGGTCAGGGAAGTTCAAGCATTGGTAGTTTCTAAAGCGCTCAGTGCTAGCCAGAATTGAAAACTGCTGCTCTAAACATACTTTTTTTCCTTTGACTTAGTTTTGATTTTGTGCATCTCTCTACATTACTAAAAAAAGTTTTGTTTTATTTTTTAATATTGTGGCATGGGGGAAAAGACACTGTCTTTTAAGTATTAGAATGAAGCATGTCCAGAAAGTAAGTCTTGGGGACAATGTGGTCCCTGAAAAGTAAGATGGAATAAGGAAATTTTCTTATTTTAAAACTGCTAAATAATTAATATGGTGCAGCATTCCCTTAAAAACTAAGTGCAAAAAAAACCCAAAAACAACTAAGTGCTATCTGGAATGAACTCTATCAATTAATCAGAAGTATAAATTTTGACTATTGCCCATTTATTTAAAAAAGGAATTTGAGACAGTTGGCAGTAATGACACAGATACCATAAAGCCATTAATGTGTGAAATCTTACCTAATAATAGACAAACATGTAAATTGACTATACCTTTGCTACGCTAACCAGCCAATCAGGAGAGTATGCAAATTAACCTAACAAAGATGGTGGCTAATTTGCATACATAGGCTCCAAGTGGTGGAGCAAAGCCTGATGGCCTGGGGGTGGAGCAGCAAAGCCTCACGGCTCCGGAGCCAGCTCCGGCTGAAGCTCGGCCAGAGCTAAGGCCTGGGTGCTGGAGGAAAACCGGTGCCAGCAGCCAGGGGAAAGGAAGGCCTATTGCACAAATCTCTTCGTGCAACAGGCCTCTAGTAAAACAATAATAAAACAATAAAGGCAGAGGGGAAGTAACTATACCAAAAAGCTATCTATCTATCTATCTATATGAAGCCAGCGCCTGTAATGCTATAACGACTGGTCACTATGACACCCACTGCGACCAGCGAACCAGCCCGATCTGGGGTGGGGCCAGCTAGCCAACATCCCATGGCTCCTCCCCTGCCTCCCCGCCCCTCATTGGCCTCACCCACCCCGATCAAGGGCTGGATGGCTGGCCAACCCCCCTGTGGCCCTTCCCCCTGACTGGCCTTGTTCCCAATTGGCCCGCCCCACCCTGATCGGCCCTCAGCCCCTCTCCACAGTAGGCCCTGCCCCTGATCGCCCCCTTACCCCAATGGGGGTGGGGCCATTGGTCAACCAATTGCAGTCCCTCCCCCCATCCAGTTCTTCCCCTGATTGGCCCCCCAACTCTGATCAGGGGCAGGGCTGGCCAGTCAACCACCCATGCCCCATCCCCCAGGCTGCTGGCTTCCAATTGGCCACCCCCACCCCTTCTGGAGGTGGGGCCGACCAGCCTACTATCCACTCACCTGGCCCACTGCCCAAAGTCCCTCCCCACGGCCAGCCCCACCCCCAATTAGCCCCCTCACCCCAATCAGGGGTGGGGCCCACCTCCCACCCCAGCTGGCCCCTCCCCCCCAGTCAGCCTGGCCCTGATTGGGGCAGGCCAGCCGGCTCACCTCCCGCTGTCTCCTTCTCCTGACAGGCCCGGCCCCAATCCACCAGTTGGGGCTAGCTGGACCCTACCAGTGCATGAATTTGTACACTGGGCCTCTAGTCCTATATAATAAAAGGCTAATATGCAAATTGTTTCCTCAGTGGGGAGTTTGAGCAGGGGGCAGGGCCAGCTGGCCAACTGCCCATGGCCCCTCCCCCTGGCTAGCCCTGCTCCTGTTTAGCCCCCCCATCCAGATCAGGGGCGGGGCTGGCCCACCAACTGCCCGTGGCCCCTCCCTCCAGCCGGCCCTGCCCCCAATCAGCCCTGATTGGGGCAAGCCAGCTGGACCCTACCTGTGCACAAATTCGTGTACTGGGCCTCTAGTGCCAATATAATTATTATGAGTATTGCATGTAGCTGTAAGTACTTTGGCAGCCAAAATAAAAACAGAAATATAATGAATTATTTGATTTTTAATGCCTGAGAAACAGAAGAATACTAGTTCATTACAAGATGGTAACTTTTTTTCTGGAATTGAATTCTAAAAGGAATTTATTATGTGGGTCTTTTACGTGATATACAACATAATGGATAGTATCTTCAGCAATATTGTAAGGATATTGTTGTCTTGTGTGCTTTGTTTTTGTTTTCATTGACTGTTTTAGTGAAAGAGCAGACCCCAGTTACTGTAAGGACCGGATCACTGAAGGAGCCAATATCAACAAGTCTCTCGTGACTCTGGGAATTGTCATCTCCACCTTAGGTATTTGGCTGATAGACTGGATCATCAGAGTGGGAGGGAGACTTTGGAGAATAACTCATGTATTTTCATTTTGTCAAAATGGGGCAGATACAAGGTTCTTTTTGATGTAGTTACCTTCTGGTTTGGGGCATAAAAATAGATATTTATCTGTTGTTTTAGAATACAAGTTGGCCATTATCTCTGTACTCTCATTTTAGAAAGAAGAGAGACTAAAAAATTGTGTAACTCAAATACTGCATGTCATGAATCCAAAGTCTTATTTAGAACTTAAACTTAAAGCATCTTATTGTATGCAGAAAGGGATTAGGAAGTGCTCCCTAGGTGTTGTTTTCTTTTAGTGCATTTGTTTCAGGATTTTTTTTTCTTCCTATTTTATTTTGTATTTTAAGCCCAGAACTCTCAAGTATTCAGCAACTGCCAGAGCCTTAGCAGTGTAACCAGAAATGGCGGTGACAGTGGGATTTCCAGCTCTTCTGGGACCAGCATTGGAGGGGGACCTTCTCGGAGGCAGTCCTATATCCCATACCGGGACTCTGTGTTGACCTGGCTGCTGAAGGACAGCCTTGGAGGCAACTCCAGAACCATCATGGTTGCCAGTGAGTAGGAAGCTGGGGCTGGTTCTGGGTTAGGACTGGTATTGTGCCTCAGAGAAAGGGCCATGACTACCCATTTCATCAAGGGTCTCTTACACAGATGGACAGTAACAGCAAGGCAAGTGGCTATGGGCTGGGTCAGAGGGCTCGGCATGATTTTAAACTTTCTTGTACCTTAGCTGTGTCTCCTGCACACAGTAGCTACAGTGAAACCATGAGCACACTGAGATATGCATCCAATGCCAAGAACATCATCAACAAGCCACGGGTGAATGAGGTGAGACCGTCATCTGAAGTCCTGGTCTGTTATCCTATATAATAAAAGCCTAATATGCTAAGTGTCCAACTGTTTGACCATTCAACCAGTTGCTATGAAATGCACTGACCACTAGAGGGCAGACACTCTGACCAGTAGGTTAGCGTGCTTCTGGGGTCCGGCCTATCAGGACTGGGCAAGACAGGCCGGACATGTCCTGGAGCCCTCCCGCAGTCTCTCCCTGGCTGGCCAATCTCTCATGGTCCCTCCCAGCTGGCTGGCCCCAATTGACCCTGATTGGGACTGGGCGAGACGGGCTGGACACACCCTGGAACCCTCCTTTGGTTCCTCCCCAGCTCTGATCGTGCACTGGTGGGGTCCCTTGGACTGGCCTGTGGGGATCGGGCTGAAACCAGCTCTCATACATCCCCTGAGCAGTCTGGATTGTGAGAGGATGCAGGCCAGGTGTAGGGACCCCACTGGTGCATGAATCTGTGCACCGGGCCTCTAATACTTTACATAACAGTCTCCTTTTGTTATTCCTCTTGCTGATGTCATTTTTTTAAAGCCAGTCAAGTTTAGCAGTGTGATGTCATTCTTTTTAAGTATTTCTCTCTATCTCTCCTCTTGCCAAACTTGTTCTCTGAATGATAAGGAAGTGAAATTCTTTTTTCTAGTGTTAACACCCTTCTCATCTCTACTGACTTCATTTATAACCTTTTGTGAATAATTTATTTTAGATATTTCCCTAAGACCATTCTTAACATCCATGGTGTACCAGTGTCACTATAAGAAAGATTATTTTCTTATTATTTATTTACTTAATAATTATTTATTTACTAATTTTATTCTGAGTTTATGTTAATACTAGTACATGCTTAGATGTTGATGCATGCAAATGGTAGTTATGTCTCTGTTTCAGGCTAAAATAGGCACATAATAAATTCATTAGTTTTGAAAGCTGAATAATAATGAGAATATTCCAAAAATTCCTTATCTGCTTTGCAATTTCAGTGAATAGTTCCATAGCAGTGATTACAAACTGGTGTCCAGTCAGATCTAGCCCATCTGTGGACTATGTTAAAAGGCAATGTAATTGTAATTAGCTCTGGCCAGGTGGATCAGTTGGAGCATCTTGCAGTGCATCAAAAGGTTGCAGGTTCCATTCTGGTCAGGGCACATATCTAGGTTGTGGGTTCAATCCCCAGTCATACAGGAAGCAACTAATCGATGTTTTCTCTCTCTCTCTCTCTCCCTCTCCCCTTCCCTCTCTCTCCTATGTCTCTGTCCTCCTTCCTCTTTCTCTAAAATCAAAACTTATTTTTAGGTGAGGATTAAAAAAAAAGAATGTAACTAAACAGGTACTAAGTTTGGTTACAATACAGAAAGATTAGCACCTACTATCTGAAATGCCCTGGCATTTGTGTTACCTGCCTGACCTCCTGCTCTAGGAGAGTGATTCTCAAACTTTAGTGTGTATCAGAAGATTCTGGAGGGTATATTAAACCACAGCTTGGGCCCCAGCCCTCAAGAATTTCTGATTTAGTAGATGTTGGGTAGAGACAAAATTTGTATTTCTAACAAGTTCTTACTCCTGGGATCACATTGTAAGAGACTACCCCAGAAGGTACTTTCCAGGAGTAATCTGCTTCATCCAAGTTAATTGCATGAAGCATCTCATAGCTTTCAGGGCCGGACATCAATCAGTGGTGACTGAGTTCTCTGTGTTTCAGGATGCAAACGTAAAGTTGATCAGAGAACTCAGGGAAGAGATCAGAAGACTGAAAGCTGTGCTTCTGAGCATCGAACTGGTATGCAGGCAATCCGAACTTGTGTGTATTCAAGAGCTCCTTTTCTTCCCCAGGAATCAGTCCTGCTTCATTGTGTTCTCAATTAAGTAACAGCTGTGGAGCAGAGGCAGGTGCAGAAACAGGATGGGGATTGTTCTGGTTCCCTGTGTAGTTTCAGGTGGAGTGGACATCCTCGTACTCTGTCGTCTCTGTTGTCCAAGGGCATTTGCCTGAATGGCTCTTATTCTGTGTGTGGGCAGATTTGGGGAATGGGACCCTCCAGAAAAATTTCCTTGAATTCACCTTTTTGTGTCAATCTGAGCCCAAATACTTAGGCTTCTGATTTATTTCTGATTTTAATTATAGTCTTTCCCTTATCTGCATCTGATGTCCCCTCACAAGAGTAAGGGTGGGACCATGAAACACAACTCTTTCTCTCTGCAGAGAAACTGCAGTTCATTGAGTGAGAAGGATGGGAATCTGAAGGAGCTGGTTCTCCAGAACGAACTGAAGGTGGGTGTGAGGTGGACCCCGTTGTGCTTTACCTCACCCTGGGAGGAGGTCTGATCTCCATCATTCCTGGGCCCGGGCTGTTCCCTCGGCAGCACAGTAAGGTTCTGTCTGGTGTAGAGATCATTTTTGTCTTCACTGGGCCTCGGATGGGGGATTTGTGTGTCTGAAGGGCTGGTGACAAGCTTTCTGACTTTGTTTTTTTCTCTTAAAGATTCATAACTCCCTTTGGATAGTGACAATAGCTTAGAAAATAAAATTTATTTTCCAGTTAGTAAATCAACCAACCAACATGTACTCATTGAGCACCAAATAGGTGCTCTGCATGATGCTGCAAGAGATACAAAGTAATCCCTGCCTTCAAGTGGCTTGCAGTGTAGTTGGAAACACATTTAGAGAGTGGTTAAATGTAGTAACTGTTAGAGGAAAGACCTTAGGGAAGGAAAAAAACCATGATGGCTTGGGATTTTCAATGCAGCTATTACATTGCTGGAGCTGGAACTCAGAGAACTTGAACTTGACCTGGAAGAATTGATAAAGTTTGTTAGGTAGGTAGAAGGGGTAAGGAATTTGGGGTGAGAGAGGGATAAGGTAAGCAAAGCCATAGAACTGGGAGGATGAACAGGTGTGGGAGGCCGGGGAAGCACACAGTGTGAAGAAGGCTAAGCTGTCTGGAGGGGGTGCTTCTGGCAGAGGTTGGCAGAACTAAGGTGAGGGCCAGTTTGGGAGGTGTGAGCCAGGGTGGTGATAATGAGGAAGTATAGTAGGAAAATTACTATGACAGTTGTATGTAGGATGGATTGAAGGGAGGGAAGCGTGGAAGCAGAGAGACAACCAGAAAAGAGATTGCTGTCATGACCCTGTGTGAGGGCGGACAAAACATTTTGGGTGATTAGATTAAGTGGTGATTCCCAGAGACACTTAAAAGGAAAAAAAAAAAGGCAGGTATTATTTGATGACAGGTTCTATTTAGATCCTGCAACCAAATGTCTCAATTTCCAGTATTCTATTACATCATCCTATGTGTTATTAAAGTATCCTGGCTATGTCAACATATTATTATCCAAACTGAACTTTAGGACTATATCATACATCCAGAAGTTTCTCAGAAATTCTCTGTTTAAACATATGTCCTAATCTGGGACATATGTTTCCTAATTCAGAAAATATTGTATTTCTATACATAAGAGATAAAGAGTCAAAATCATTCCAGGCTTATTTGTAGTTTTGTGTTATGCAGGCCAGCAAAATTCAAGGGGGCTTGAATCTGCAACGGGCTGGCCTATCCCGTGATGTTAGGCGGTGGAGGAGTTGGTGAGCGAGCTGGCCAGAGGGGGGCGTGTTCAGCCGTGCCTCCAGGTTCGGTGCCAGGTTGGCCAAACTAAGCCAGAGCAACCTGCTGTTCACCTCTGCCAAGTCCCAGTCCAGCTCAGCCTTTGGTTACCCTGTAATTTTCAAACTTCAACTCGGGGATTAAAAATATTTTTTGTAGGGACATAAAATAGTTGTATGTAAACTTGGCATAGTTTATTTTTTCTTAAGTATTGCACTTATGAGAGAAGTATTTAGGTGAATTCGGTGTCTTTTTCAGGTTCCTTGGTTCTTCCACTTCCAGGATAAGCTGCCTGCCTAGGCATGAATTTCCACCATACGAAGGAAAAAGGACTCTGCATTCAATATTATTTGTTTACATTCTCTAGATCAGGGGTCCTCAAACTATGGTCCGCGGGCCACATGCGGCCCGCCGAAAACATTTATCCGGCCCGCCTGGTGTTTTTGCCACCGCTGCCTGTCCTGCTTAGCAGCCGACTCGTCCTGGGCCTGCAGTTGCGCATGTGTGGAATGTCTGAGGGACAGTGAACTGGCCCTCTGTTTAAAAAGTTTGAGGACCTCTGCTCTAGATGGTGCTAAGGCCTCTAAGTCTTGGTATATTTATTTTTAAAACTGATCCTAATACATAATAAGCCCTCAGGATTTTATTGTTGTTACTTTATTACTATGTGGTGTTTCAGGTCAGTTTCATATATTCTCCCTGGGTTGACTTCTTTGTGGTCTTTGAGCCACGTACACACTCAAATTGGAAGTGGAGGTGGTGCTCCTTGAGAAAGAAGTGTTAGGTCACAAAAAGACTCCCAGGATGGCTCACATAGAAGGGCATGGGGAGAGGGGAATATAGATGTCTGACTAATATCTCCATCAATTTAACACATCACATTTATACTGTTTGTCCCCAATTATAACAATAATACATGCTGTTGCAGAAAACTTTAAAAATAATGAGTTTCTATTTATGAAAGTAGCACTTGCTTTTGAAGAAAACTTGTAAACACAGAGATCTCCTAGAAGAGGTGCAGGGGCCTCTGTGGGGCTTTGAACAGTAGCAGTGAGGAGAGTAAGGAAGTAATACCCGGGGAGGGGTGGGGGATCAGACCAGGATGCCACCTCAACTTTAGTCCTGCTTCCTGCGCTGAGTCTCTGAGACCACCTCCTCTGTCTCTGCAGATAGACCAGCTGACTAGAGACTGGACTCAGAAGTGGAATGAGTGGAAAGCCCTCATGGAGCATTACAGAGTGGACATCAACCGAAGGAGGGCTGGGGTTGTCATCGAGTCCAGCCTGCCACACCTGATGGCCTTGGAGGAGGATGTGCTCAGCACAGGTGTCGTTCTCTATCACCTCAAGGTGAGTAGGCAGGTGCATTCCCTCTTCCCGAGCTACTGGCTCCAGAGATCAAGGAGGGAAAAGCCAGGGGAAGCAGCCAAGCATTTGTGAATTGAGACAGATGTCCTAGTGCCGACTTCAGGTTTGCATTCAGGAAACGGTTAGCCAGCCAGTTGGGACCTGTTTGGCTTTTGTATGAATGGAGCAGAAACTGGAAATCAGAACAATCAGTTTTCTTTTGTAGTTGCTGCTACTGTTGCTTTTATACAATTTACTTTTGTTCTCTGAACCTTAATTTCCTCATCCTATATAATAAAACCCTAATATGCAAATTGACCAAATGGCATTACGACCAGCAGAGCGACCAGTCGCTATGATGCGCACTGACCACCAGGGGGCAGATGCTCAATACAGGAGCTGCCCCCTGGTGGTCAGTGCGTTCCCACAGTGGGAGCGCCACTCAGCCAGAAGCTGGGCAAGTGCAGCAGTGGTGGCAAAAGCCTCCCGCCTCTGCTGTAGGTGGGCAGTAAGAAGCAATGGGTCCTGGACTATGAGAGCCCCAGACTGTGAGAGGAATCGGGTCTTAGCTGGCAGGAGGACCTCCCCCGAGGGGTCCCAGACTGCGAGAGGGTGCAGGCCGGGCTGAGGGGACCCCGCCCTCTCCCCCCACTCCCCATGCACGAATTTCGTGCACCGGGCCTCTGGTTTTAAAATAAGAATGATGCTGCTTTATTCCTTTTCTGGCTTCCTGAAACACACGAATGCAGGCGAGGAAGTGAAATCCTAACCTTAAAGTACCATTGGTGCTCCTGAGCTGTGCAAATGCAGGCTGCTCACAGATGGCTAACAGGGCAGTCACATGATTTGAAACAGTTTTCTTTCAATACTTCCCCATGTCACTCAACCCCCAAATCAATAAAATGTGCCTCCCAATTCTCCATTACTAGGTTTACTTGGGAAAGAAGAGAGGAGAGAGAAAGTAGATACCTGAACCTTAGAGAAGCATAAGGGAGAGTCTAAAGAGGTGAGGGGAGTGGTGGCAGGGCATGACATGCAGCCGCCCAGAGAAAATACAATGAAGTTAAGGCTTTCGACAAGGACCCTGCTCACCTGGATCGTTGTCACCTAGAGGCAAGATCCTCATTTCTAAATGAAGCAGTTTGAGAGTCAGTGACCCATGGTAGATAGTCTTACATCCTGACCTCATAAAAAATGTCCTGCTGTGGGACAGTCTCTATGGAAGACAAAATATACTTTACATGGTCAAAGTCCCCGTGTTCACTGAAAATCCAATATTCATTCTCATAATTGTCCCCCGCAGACATTGAAAAGGAACAGAGTTTATGGGGCTTGTGTAATGCTGCTGTTATCCCTGGAGAAATTAGACTCCTAATGCTGCAGTGCATGTGGTGGTGAGATGTTAGCAGAGCTCATCATGTGCAGAAAGTCTGTTCTTAGGATACGCCCTGAGGGAGTTGTCAGAGACTGGGCCTCTCAGACAAAGTTAAAGTAGCTTATTTTATGGTACAGAGAGTGCAAGTGATCTCAGTGAAATGCTTCAGGCAGAATCTAAATCCTAAAGGCTATGGATCCTTCTCAGTCAGAGCCACAGGGAGAGACTGGAAGTCTGGAAGAGACCAGGTGGATTAAAATGGTCAGTATTTGAGTAGAACTGATCTGATATATTGATTGCATGTGGAAGGAGCAGTTGAAGTTGGAAGTCAAGTGGTAGAGCTTGGGGTACAGCTGAGGGTCAAAGGACACAACTGCCCGTCTGAACGTAGAGGTGCTGGTTGTCCTGCTGAGTCTGTGCACACCCAGGTGGCCCTCCCTCCAGGTGTGTTTCCAGTGAGCCAGGGCATGGGGTTCCAGTTAGTGCTAATCCTGGCATTTCTGCATAGTATGTGCCCATTTCCCCTTTTCATTTCTTTACACCCTGGTTTGGGGAATGTAACAGTAATCAGGATTCTCTCTTGTTTGTTTTGTGCTTTGCTGGCATGGTTCCAGATCTGGGACTAGTCACTAGCAATGCCCTGGGAGCTGTTTTCCCTTGAGCCACCTCAGGAGGAACCTCAGGTGGAAGGGGGCCGAGGGAAGGCTGCATAGAGCACAGGTTACTGATATCCTGGACTTCCCACGTATGTGCCTTTGTGCTGCTAATGGCCCCTGGGTAAGGAGGCAGAGGGGCAGCAAGCACAGGCTCCGGTTCAATCCTGTTAAACACATGCCATCACATTTTCTGGTTGTTACTGCCCTGCAGGTCTAGAAGTGGTGATGTGCTGTGGCTTTCATCCGTTGGGGTGGAATGTGCCTCCTCGTCAGGGTGATCCTGAGCCCACAAGAGGGGTCTTGACCTCTTTCTCTTGATTCTGTTTGGCATGCTGGGAAGCCAGTGTCCATTGGCTTGTGTGATCCTCAGTGGCTGAGCAGAAAAGTCTGGGCCCTGGCTGTTTGTGGGTGTGCTTGTAGAGGGAGGCGCAGAGCATCATTCATCACTTCTGGAGTCCTCCTTCTCACAAGCTCTTTTGGAGGAGCTGCAGGGACCACCCCTCTGGCTGAGAACAGTGAAGCCTCAGCTCCTGGAGCGGTGGTAGGCTGAGGTTGGAAAAGCACGGAATTCCAGCCAGAGCTCTCCTATTCAGTTTATGGGTTCCCTGGGCAACTTATACCCCATCAGCTTCAGATTCCTTGTCTATAAACAGGGGATAATACCTACATTTTGGGTTAAAGGATTGAATAAGAGATGCCTGTAAAGCACTCAGCGCAGTGCCTAGGGCATAGCGAATGGTTCGTCGGCGCACGACGAATATGTATCTAAACTCAGCATCTCTTTGCCATTTGCTGCCTTCCTCAACAAAGCTTTGTGGTCTGAATTGTCATAATCAAAGGCCAAAGGCCTTGTCTTCTACTAACCTTGTGATTCATTTATACTAACTCCTGTTTCCCCTCCTCTCTTATACTCTCTTCCAGTCCTTTTTTTTGATTCTAGATGTGCTTTTGTCCTATTCGTGCTTTATCCTTCTTACAATCTGGTGTCTGTTAAACTTCATCTGCGGACCAAGAAGGTAAAAATCTTGTGCTTCCATTCACCTGTGTGTCTGAGACTGACTGGACCACATGATCCTCAGCCCCTGGGAGAAAGCTATACCTGTGTGCCCACTAAAGACTAAACGTCAGACTAAAGATCTCGGACGGCCAAGGCTATTCGCTAACTTCAGGCTATAGGAGTTTGCCAACACTTGTTGGACTTTGCAAAGATACGGTGCTGCTTTGTTACATATTTTTTGCCCCCACCTTCTCAGGGTCATTCTGGCTGCAGAGTGAGTGGGCAGAGCAGTCAGAACAGCCTGAACCAAAGTTGAGAAGTGATGTGGGAAAAGCTGGGATGGGTGTGGGAAGACAGTGATAACACTCAAACAAGTGGACTCTCCTCTCGGGGCAGGGCTGTGTCCCTTTTTATTCTCATTTAAATGGTTTTGTTTTTCCCTTTAGGAGGGGACAACAAAAATAGGAAGGATTGACTCAGAGCAGGAACAGGATATTGGTAAGTGACAGAGCATATGGTCTGACACTTTGTGGCAGGTACTCATGCCTGACAGGTTTCTGCAGAGGAACCGATGGTGCTCTGAGGGGAAAGGATCTTTGAGGTCCTAAGGGGCTGCTCCTTTTGCTGCTAGGCTGTGGGACTGCAGCTCTATGGCTGGGACATGATAGGAGGGGGCCCACATGTGGGAGGATCCAGGTCTAAGAGGTTTCAGGTGATGGCTCTTCCTCTCTTGTCGTGATTTGAGATCTTCCAGATGTGGATTCTGATCTCATGGGAAGAATGGAGGAGGTGTTTCCCTGGGCCATGCCTCCATCCGGGTGACCCCCACCTCTTCTGTAGTCCTGCAGGGTCAATGGATCGAGAGGGACCATCCTGCAGGGTCAATGGATCGAGAGGGACCACTGCACTATCACCAGCGCCTGTGGGGTTGTCGTTCTGCGGCCTGCCCAGGGGGCCCGTTGCCTAGTCAATGGCCGGGAGGTCACTGCCTCCTGCCGTCTGACCCAAGGTAGGACTGTCTGCAGCCCTGTTTATGCCAGAATGAGTGATGGACCGGCTCCATTCTCATGGGCTGGACTCAGAACTCACTGAAGCAGTCCCTGCAGCCAGAGATCGGAAGGTTTCCTAATACAGTCTTCTTCGCGTGCATGAAGAAGCCCCAATTCTTGGGCCCCAGAATGGAGAATAAATCTGAAATTCGTCCCTGTGTTTGTGAGCTCTGTGTCCTTGGGAAAGTCTCTGAGCTTCAATTTCCTCATGTAAAATGGGGATAAGAATAGGATTGAATAGCAGGAAGTGTGAAGATTAAATGAGCTAATTCATGTAATGTTGTTCTTAACAGTGTTCTTGGCATTTAGTAACCACTCATTATCATTTTTACTGTCACTATTACTATTGTTATTCACCTGTTTAAGTTCTGTCTGTCCTTTGAGGCTGAGCTTACGTTCCCCCTCTTCCATGAAGTATTCCCTGACTACTACACCTGGAACACATCTTGCTTCACCTTTGAGTACCACACTCTTCCTCTTCATCTCCTTAGTTTGATGCATGTGCTGTGCAGTATCCAGTGAATATATATATATTTATTGGCTCAGCTGAATTATCCACTTGTTGAGGTTAGGACCTTCATCTCCCAGAACAGTGCCCTGCATGTAGTGTATACTCTGAACAGGAACTGTTGATTGAATTCTCATCTGCCTCCATGCCACAGGAGCAGTCATAACCCTGGGGAAGGCACAGACATTCCGATTCAACCACCCAGCAGAGGCCGCTGTCCTTCGGCAGAGAAGGCAGGTCAGCATGCTGTGCTTTCGGTGTGGCTGCTGGCCTCCCGCTTTCTCCTTTCTGAGGAAGGAGCTTGAGCTTTGTTTGGTCCTCTTGGGAGGGTGGGAGGGTTGATGACTGCAGTCTTGCTGTGCTTTCTTCCTGTTCCCAGGTTGGAGAAGCTGTTGGTGGTAGTGGCTCTTTGGAGTGGCTGAACTTGGATGGAGATGTCACTGCCTCCAGGTTGGGACTCTGCTCTCTGCTTGGGAAGAAAAGGTGAGAATCAGCTGCTCATTCTGCTGTGTAACCTACGAGTTTTTCTCCTTAGTCCATTACAACATGGAGCTGGGAGGAGATGAGGGTAAGCAGCCAAGGTCTGAATGAAGCCTGTTCTGCACCAACTTGGAATGTGATCTGAAGATGCTGAGCTAGCTGCTTGGCTGATAGTTGGCAGGGAAGTGGTCTTGGCCCTCATTTATTTCCTCTTTGATGTTCCAGCTTTCTTCATCACTGAAAGGTATGACATGTGTTGTTTCCTATCCCACTTTCCTCTGTCAACAAGATTTAAATGTGATGTTTGTAGGTAGCGTTGATACAGCTTCCGAACTTACCTCCCTGTAAACCTCTTTATCTTCCATGCTGCCTGTGTGGGAGCTCGCGGGTGTGTCATATAGCTCCCAGGACTATGGCTTTCTCTGAGTTTTTAAAGACATTGTGGGACTGAGACTCCTTTTTTTCCTCTTTGCCAAGAGTCCAGAACTGCATAGCAGGGCAGGGCCTCCAGAAGCAATGTGAAAACATCTTGGGGTTCTGCCCTGTCCCGTCCACTTCACCAGCATTGTAACTGAACCATGGAGCCAGAGTTTTGTGTGTGATTGGTGGCAACTACTTTTCTTCTTCATAGTCATTTTCCACCCATTTCTTCATAGAATTTCCTTCTGGATCTAGACACCTGTGGATTTGGCACTGGGAACAGTGGTATCCTTCTGTTCCCATAGCCAAAGTGGCTGCTGCCTTGGGGACTTCCTTTAGAAATGTCAGCAGGAGATTCGGTGCCTGTGAGAATGCCGGTGTCAGGTGCTGTCCAGCCCCATGAGCACAGGGCTCCTGGAAGGGTTCTGATGGCACTTGGTCCCTTGGTTCCTTCACGGGGACCCAGCTGCTCTTTCCTCAGGCCAGGTGAATGCAGTGGTAGCTGAAGGTAGTACTAAGTCAGACCTTGTAGTGAGGGATGTTGGATCAGGAGTGGGGGTGCACTGGTGCAGGTATGTGAAGCATGCACATCCTCACGGCGGGGCTGCTGAGGGCCAAAGGATTAACCAGAGTCTAAGGAGGAACTGAGGGTTCAATGGGGGGACTGGTAAGGTGGGGGAGGGTCAAGTGCCTCAAGGCCAAGATGGACCCAGGACTGAGGCTGAGGCTCTTGCTTAGTCAGAGTGGCCCTCCCTTTTTGTAATGAGTCCATGAAAGGAGGCCTTGTTTAGGTAAGATTTCCGTTGGAAAGATGCACTACGATCTGTTTTTCCCAGAGTTCAGAGGCTTACAGAGAATGGCTCTGCACCTTAAAGAGTGAGGATGATGGGGTTGGATAAAGCTGCTTTGCTTCCTGGCGATGATGGAAAAGCTTTGTGACCTTCAGCAAGTCTCTGAGTCTATTTGCTCCTCTAAGTAAGGGTACTACCATCTCTCTCCCAGGGACCCTTGAAGTAGGATGAAAAGAGCTAGAACACGTGGAGTGCTCTGCCAAGTACCTGACCTCCCACAGCTACAGCTCCCCAGTGGGAGGTTCTTGTGGGGAGCTGTCCAGGAATGCAGCTTCCCTTTCGCTTTCCTGTCCCCATCTCACCCAGCTGACCAGAGAACACTGGTCTCCTGTCCTTTTACGGCCTTCTTGGGCTCTCTAACTCCACGGGCACTGACATGACCTTTCAGTAAAACTGAGAAGGCACCTTTTCATTTAGAGAGGACAGAGAGAGATTGGCGAGTCAAGGCTTCCCACTTGCTGCCTCCACGCTTCAGCACCAGCTCTAGGAGCCTGTGGGCTGAGCTGGTCCTGCCCAGCTGCCGTAGCCAGCATCCTGTGCCAGACCTGGTTGAGGCTGGGTGTGTGGGGCTCTGGCCTGTGATTGGGCAGAGGGACTGGGGAGAGAACCCATGAGAGTGGAGAAAACTGCCTGTTGTCAGCTGGGTTCCCAGTGGTGTGTGGCTGCATCTCCATGACAGTCTTTCCTCTGCTTTTGGGTGGGGTTGGCTCCCAAGCCTCTCCTTGTCCTAGGCTTTCTTTCCCTCCCCTTTCTCTCTGGAGGAGTACCCGTGGGGAGCCTGCACAGCCGGAGCTGACTCCAGAGAGTTGCAGAGCCTTTCTCTGTAAGCCTCTGACTCCAGGGGAAATTGCCAGTCTGCCTCCTTTCCTCTTGCAGCAGTGATCTGGACCCGAGAGGGGTTTGTCCTTGAAACTGTTCTTTGCAGTTTCCCATTTGGAATTTTGGGGACTTAACCTTAAGTGCCCAGGGCCGGGGAGACACTGTCATTGCTGCTACCACTACTGCTGCATTAGTGAGCAGACGCTGCTGCATTCTGCTGCAGAAGCTGTCAGACTCAAGGCGGCCAGAAGGGCACCAGGCAGCAGCTGGGGGAGGCAGGAGCCACCCAAGATGAAGGGCAGTCATCTGAGAGAGACAGAGGTCCTTGGCTGGCAGGTACCTGAAAGCTTGCCCTTGGTAATCAACCCAGATATGTAGCATAAGGTTGGTATTTTCTTTTTCACTTGCTTTTTGGCTGACGTACTTAGCAGGGGAGCCATTTTCAGCCTGATGGCAGGTGGCATCTTGGGTGAATACGCATGTCTGCAGTGATCTTCTTAGCCTGCCCGCCTCATAGGCCTGATGCTGCTGTGAAGGAAACTATTGGGTTATTAGCAGCTGCCACTTTCCAGGAGGAGGGCTAGAGGGAGCGTACCTCTAGGGAGAAGGAAATTGCAGTCAGGGTTTGAGATGGCAGGGAAGGAAGCTAAATGCTCTCAGGGAATTCAGAATAAAGATCCCCTTCCTGCCCCGGGCATCTGATGGTCTGGATCTTAGCTGAGTTTGTCTGAGACCCTCAGATGGGCTTATGTTGGAATTCAGCTCTGTGGTCAGACAGATTTTGGAGCAGTAGTGCAGGCATGACACGTGTAAAAAATGTTTTCCATTCCTGTGGCATTAACTAGTTTTTTATTCCAATCACTATCCCTAGCCTTTTGCCTCACATGCATCAAAGAGTTTCTTTCTCTTTTATGTACACTCCACTATGTGTATTTGGCCTTTTGCCCACAGCAGCAGTGCCAGTCTTCCCCATAGTGCACCTGCTCAAGTGTCAGGGCCTGTCCTAATCCTTGGACCTATAGTACATCGAGCGACCTCACAGAGTCCTTCACAGAGAAGACACTGCTGGTGTGTCAGCGTCTACTACGCACTTCTCATCCGCCTAATCACTCTCCCTCCCATCCATCATTCATTGTCCTCCTAGACCTATATTAAGGGATATTAATTCCTCTAAGCGAGAGGCAGCAAATGATCTGTTAAGGGCCAGGTAGTATCTTGGGCTTTATAGGACCTACAGTCTCTGCTGCAGTGACTCGACTCTGCCAGGGCGGCGCAGAAGCAGCCTGGACCATACATCTGAGTGGTCCGACTGTGATCCTGTGACACTTCCCTCACAAAAAACCCAACCTGCCTCACAGGCTATAACCCTCTGCTTCAAAAGCCTCCGTGGTTTCATTCTGGCCTATGAAATGTAAATCTCCTGAGAGCAGCGGTTCTCAACCTGTGGGTCGCGACCCCTTTGGGGGTCGAACGACCCTTTCACAGGGGTCGCCTAAGACCATCGGAAAACATATATATAATTACATATTGTTTTTGTGATTAATCACTATGCTTTAATTATGTTCAATTTGTAACAATGAAATTGGGGGTCACCACAACATGAGGAACTGTATTAAAGGGTCGCGGCATTAGGAAGGTTGAGAACCACTGCTTTAGAGCACACTGCTCGGACTGAGAGCTGGTTCCAGTGCCAGGTCCTGGCAACCTGGGGCTGGCAGGAGCGCTGTGGGAGGCTGGATTCAGGCGCTTTTGTGAGCCTCTAGGATCCTGATCCTTCTCACTGCCAACCTGGAGCGCCCATGCAGTTACCCAGAATGACAGGGACGGAGTGACCCTGCAGAAACAGCACATGAGGTCCTCTCTAGAAGGCAGTGTATAACCTGGGCAGAGTTAGCATGCAGGCGAAGCTGTCCGTTTTCAGGGGAAGGCTCTCGCTCATCCATGTTCACATAGGAACCTGGTGGTATGACTGTGATCTAGAATTCTTTTTAAACTTTGTATTCTGGAAAATGCCAAATACACTACAAACATCAACTCATAGCTAATCTTGTTTCATTTATATACCCGCTCACTGGACCTAAACAAATCCCAGACAGTTTCACCAGAAAACGCTTCTGCATCTGTCCCTGAAATGCATGCTACAGCCTCACACTCGGGAGCTCCTCCAGCGCTGGCTCTCACAGGCGGTGCGTGTGCATCCCCTCCTCTGGACCAGGGTCTCCTCCAGGGAGCAGAGGGGCCGCTGTAGTCTGCACATGTGCGACACCCTCCGTTCCTACAGTGGCTCTGGGCTTCTGCTCCACTTTGTTTCCAGCAGAAAACTTTTTTTTTAAAGGACAAAATTTCTTGATTTAGCTAAGATGTTCCAGGGTTTTGTTGGTTTATTTGTTTGTGTGAAAGCTGCTTTATGTTCCTGGTTGTTTTCCTTAACCAAAATGCATTTGTGTTTCTGCTAAACCCACAACCTAAGAATATACTAGTCTAAGGACTGTTCTCCATCCTGCACTGTGACATCATGAGCTGCCTGTGACACCACGCCTGGGAGGCCCAAGTTGCCAGAAGTCCAAAGCCTCTCTGCCCAGTTGAATTCAGGGCTCTCTGAGAGAGGCTTCGCTGCGACTGAACTGGGTTTGCATTTCCCTGGGTAACCTCGGCCCCTCTGTGACAGGAAAGTGCTGGGGGAGCAGAGTGACGAGGAACAGCTACCCAGGGCTGGAGAGACGCCTCAAAGGGCCGAGATTCAACAGCAGGATTCGAGGCAGCGAATCCTAGCGCAGCAGATTAGAGCCAACCAGGACCTGGAATTCGAGCAGGCACCCATCAGCTGGCAGATTAAAGAAGGTAGGTGCCCGCTGCTCACAATGTCTGCTTCATCTTCCAGCCTCTTCATTTTCACGCTTCCCCAGCCTTCTGTATTCTCGCCTTGGTTTTCTTTGTGATACGATGGAATCTTTGGCATTAGGCGTTCTCTCCTCTGTTTTACAGTCCTGAGGTTCTGACAAGGGGCTGGAAGCAAGAAAGAACAAGGAAGCAGCTTCCTATTGCCCCTGAGTAATGAACCTCTGCTCACTGTTTCTCATGCGCACATTTGTCTCTGCTCTGCTGCCTACCCTGCCACGTACCCCCCACTGTGCCGAGGCCTGGGGCTTCATTCCCTTGCCCAGTGGTAGGGGGATGCCACCCTGGCCAGCTCTTTCACTGTGTACAGGTCCAGCCATGGCCGGAGGTGTCTGAGCCCAGGCAGCCACCTGCAGGGAGGGAGGTGCTAACCTTCTCTCAGGATGTTTTTGGTTTCCAGACCAGCAGTGGCTGCTCAGAGAAGAGACCTGGCTGGCCAGCTTGCAACAGCAGCAGCAGCAGCAAGACCATATAGCAGAGAAAGAACTTGAGGCCTCTGTGCCCACTGATTCTTGGCTTCAGACATATCCTGAGACTCAATCGTCCTCACTGGTCAGAAGCCAGAAGAGGGCGGTGCCACTTCAGCTCCTGCGGAGACGAGCTCTTCGGGCAGCAGAGAGGAACGTGAGGCGAAAAAAGGTCTCATTCCAGCTCGAGAGAGGCATCAAGAAGCGGAGGCTGCTGGAGACCCAGAAGAGACTGGAGCAGCTCAAGGCATTGTACTGGCTTCAGGATGAGGGTTCCCAGGAGCCCCCACACCAGGTCCCCAGCCCTGATGCCTTCCCAGGACGTCAATGTAGAAGCAGATCGACAAGTAGCAGCTTTTTGAGCCTCCGAGAGCTCTGCCTCCGGTACTTGCCCCAGCTACGCAGGTACAGGCAGCACTTGTCCCCTGGAAGCTTTGGCTGAGGTTTACAACCTCGTTGCCAGCCTCAGCTTCCTCAGTCTGTAAAATGGAAAGATGTGTTTGCTCATCTCTTCCTCATCACCCTGTTCCTCTTCTGCTCCTCTTCTTCTTTCTCTGTAGTTGATATCCGCTAAGTCTGAGGCTTTTCCCTTCTCCCACTCTGAGAGGAAGCTCTTGCTTCTTTGGTGCAATCTACATGAGCCTCATTTTTTGATTTTTTTTTTTTTTTTACAGAGAGGAAGGGAGAGAGAGAGAGAGTTAGAAACATCTGTGAGAGAGAAACATCAATCAGCTGCCTCCTGCACATCTCCCACTGGGGATGTGCCCGCAACCAAGGTACATGCCCTTGACCGGAATCGACCCGGGGACCTTTCAGTCCGCAGGCCGACGCTCTATCCACTGAGCCAAACCGGTTTCGGCAAGCCTCATTTTTTATCTATAGATTCTGATTATCCACTTACACCTCCTTGTGTATTCCTGCCTCACCTCCATCTTATCTTGCCTCAAACCAGATTCTGTCCCCACATTTCCTCCTCTTCCCTCCCCACTTGACCTGCCACCTCAAGTGAGCTTCCCAACCCCACCTGCCAACTGGTGAGTGAGTGGAACACTGTCTTTCTGACTCCAGGTTCAATTTGGGGTCTTTTTGTTTCTTTTCTCCTTCACTCCTTACATTCAGTCAAGGTAAGGATATGTTATCTCCCAGAATGCTTGGAACAGGGGACTGTGTCTACCTCTTTATATCCTATGGGCCTAGCACAGTACTTGCCCATAGTAGGTACATAATTAATGTCTCTGGTGGTGGTACATTCGCTCACCTCTCTGGTCTTCAGAGTAGTAGGCAGGCTTTAAAAAAAAAACACCAGCTTTTTATTATGAAAAATTTAAACATACACAAAGTTGGGGAATAATACCTAACACTTATATTTGGCAATTATCAAGATTTACCAAGCTTGCTCTATCTCCTTCCTTCCTTCTTCTGGTGAAGTATTTTAAATCAACTCCTAGACATCATGTCATTTCAGTCCTATGTTAGGTATACACTTCTAAAACATAAGGACTTTTCTTATATCCACATTGTTAGTATCACACCTAACAAAATTAAGATAAATTATTAGGTATTAGAGGCCTGGTGCACGAAATTAGTGCACTGTGGCGGTGGGTGTCCCTCAGCCCAGTCTGCACCCTCTCCAATCTGGAATCCCTCTCACAATCTGTGACAGCTGGCTCCCAACTGCTTGCCTGCCTGCCTGTCTGATTGCCCCTAACCACTCCCCTGCCAGCCTGATCGACACCTAACTGCTCCCCTGCCGGCCCGATAGCCCCCAACTGCCCTCCCCTGCAGGCTCAGTCCCCCCCAACTGCCCTCCCCTGCTGGCCTGGTCGCCCCTAACTGTCCTCCCCTGCTGGCCTGGTCCCCACCCCCTCCAATTGCTCTCCCCTGCTGGCCTGGTCGCCCCTAACTGCCCTCCCCTGCCAGTCTGGTCACCCACAACTGCCCTCCCCTACTGGCCATCTTGTGGTGGCCATCATGTGTGAGGGGTGATGGTCAATTTGCATATTACCTCTTTATTATATAGGATACTTTACACCTAGGCCATATTCAAATTTCTCTAATTGCCTAAAAATATCTTTTTATAGTTAGTTGTTCAAATTAAGATCTAAATAGGTTTTACATACTGCATGTGGTTATGTCTTTTAAGTTTCTTTTAATCATTTCTTTATATCATTGATTTGTTAAAGAGAATGGGCCAGTTCTTTAGAATGTACTATGTTTTAGATTTGTCCGTTTGATTCCTTGTAGTGTTATTTAAATTGTTCCTCTGTTCCTTCTATTGCTGATTAAGTAGGAGTTTTCTTCAAAGGCATGATTAGATTCAGATTCAGTTCAACCGTTTTATGAGATAAAATATTGAGGAACAGAGTATACCTAAGGCCACTTTGAGAGCTAGGACTATAGTCCACAGTTTCCTTTTGTTTCTACGAAGCTTTCCTCTGACACCGAAGAATGTAAGGGACATGACATTGGCCTGGTTTCTAACCTCTTGCAGTGCAGTAAGTGGGACTTTGTAGTCCC